AGACGAAGCCACGTGGCCACATATACTTCTTGCAACAGTGCTATACTCTGTTTCATACTTAGCGTGCAACACTGTCAAAGCTACTGGCGCGAGCGCGTGGCTTCATCTATGGTTTTGTCTGCGCGAGAACACGTGCAAATGATCAACGAGGTCAAGCCCCATGCTCGCGCCAGTAGCTTTGAGAGCGTTGCACACTAAGTATGAAACAGAGTATAGCAGGGCGGGACTGCAGCGTCTCCTTTGAACTACGTTGTCAAAGCTAGCTTAGCTTCCACAGTGCTCCAACTCCATCACAGATAGTTGCGCGAACGCATATGCGAATGAAATGTAATAGACAAAGCCACGTGCTCTCGCAGCAGTGCGGGGCTGCTGCACATTGGAGCTACGCTAGCTTTGACAATATACCACAAGAACAGATAACATAGAACCAAAAAGTTTATGCCACAAGTGTATGAGGCTAGTTCAGCCTGTCCAGTGACCTCAGCTCATCCGAATTATTTTGTTTACACGAGAAATCGCGCACAATTTACAAAAGACACTTTTCAAAACCACACTCGCACCCGCGCTGATCTGTCAGCACTGGAGATGTTATCTACAAATTCACAACCCAGCAAACACGTGTTTGTTGCCTTGGTAAGCATGGACACGAACAGAGAGAATGGCACCACCTCAGCACGTGCATGTTCGCCGCGTTGGAAAGTGCAAAGCACCTGCCATGGGCGCGAACGCTAAAATGGGGATGGCGCGTCCCTTCATACCGGGGCAACGAATACGCACATACTATAGTGTAAAGCTGCGCGTTGGGTGATACAGCGTGACAGCCCAATTCCGATTCAGGCAAGGACAGGTCCCGCTGTACCGTATAAACGAAAGGATGCATCAGGAGAGGGTGCTGACGCTGAAGGTTTTAGTTTGCCTGTGACAGGTAAGCGGTACTATGAACATAGTATCTACAATAATATATACATTATAAATATAGAAATATTCTAGACAAATATATTACATGTGCATGCCAAACGGTGTGCGAACTGCAAGGAAAAGAAATGTGCACGGTGTATACAAAATGATAAAAAATTGGTGATCTGTTATCTAAATCTAAAGTTGTCAAAACTCAAAACAATTTGGAGCCAGAGGATTATGGTCACTACTCTACTCCGTCTCACAAATGTCTGCAGTAAAAACGGCACACGCGTGTGACCATAGCTCAGCAGAATCTCGCGCGTCAAAGACACTTCAAAACCACGCGCTCGTGATCGCAAAGATCAGCACTGCAGATCTTTTTGGGATTGAGTACAGGCTGTGTAGTTTGTAAATACGTCTGACCGCAGCCGTCATGCGCCTATGTACATTACGTATACTACTACAACACTGTAATGTACCAATTCTTTCATGATGAAGCACGTGCCAAATTACTCCAGCATCAAGTAGCATGGCAACATATACGGTACACACGCTGAACGCACTCGCCTTATCAGTATAGGCAGTACAGGGTATTCACTGGACGCCATGTTTGAGGGCGATATCTAGAGCGCATGCTCAGAAAGAGCTCACATTAATAGGCTGATAAGATCGGCAATCTTGATGGTGCGGAGTGCACGTATCAAAATAACTGTGGAAGCTCGCCGTCAGCACGCGCTCAGCAGTCGCGCACATAGCTATGGCCGCCAGTGATTACTCCCCATAACACGTTCCAGATAGTAAATAATCATAATAAAACGTTGATGAGTTTTTGTCCAAAGTGCCATTTGTATTATGTTTCTGCTTTAGCTGAAGTGTGTGTGATTCGTGACGGCCTTGCATATCTTCACCTAATCTCAAGTGTTTTACTGAAATCAAAAAAAAAAAAAAAAAAAGTTGCTTTTACGCAAGACAGGGTAAGGAGTAGAATGGGAGGAGAGGGAGTGGAATTCGGGGCGCCTTGGCACGGCCCAAAAGTGGTGTATGGCCGTGTGAAAACCATATAAATGCATTCCATCAAAGTATAGCAAACAACAAATATTGTTTTCATTGGAGTCTCCTGTTTTTCCCCGAAGAACTGTTTAGACAATTTTCCTGTTTCGACAAATGAGTCACGCAAGCGTAGTTTAAATTTTTGTTACAGACGAAAGCTTATGTAATACTGCAAAATCGATTATATTTACCGGAGAGGCACCTTTAGCCCATGGCCCCGCGTATAAGCCGCAAAAAATTGCTGGCACTGCGTTGTGATATTGTGTAATATATATATATATATATATATATATATATACGTATATCTATGTACGTGTGCTGCATTGTATAGTAGAATTTGTGCCAACTTCCGCAGATAACAAAGCAAATATTTCTTAATTGACTGAAATTCATGTCATCTTCACCTTTCTAGAAAGCGTGGAAGGGTTGTAAGTTCTCTTTAGACGCGTTGGTTTTCGGTGAAAATGAGTGCATACTGTTGACATAGAGCATAGCATACGCTACGAGTGATCCCAGTCAATCCAGCTGCGGCCCATCGTAAGGTCAAACGGAGTAGATTAATTTTGGGACGACGGACATGTCGCTTTGTTCAGCTAGCCGGCGATTGGACAAGAGTCAGAAATGGGCATATATATATATATATATAAAGTCGATGCAGCCGTTAGCCACTCCGGTCTCAATAAGTTAAGGGCGCGCGGAGGGTAACAACAACATACCCTACAACTACAACAAAAAAAATTATATACAAGGAAAGATTACCTAAATAATTGGTGAATTTGGGCCTATCTTAAAAACACGGACGAGAAATATTTTCTAACTGGTTAGTTTAAAACGTTTGTTCTATATGAATGCATATTTCAGCTCGAAAAATATACGAGGGCCCTTTTTCGACACCCGAAGTATACTTAACAATTACCGCGATATCGGATGATTGATGCACTGAAAATAAAATCCGACATGAAATTTCAGTTTTTTGTGCCCTTTTTTCAGCGTTTGGATTCTGCAAGAATGATAAAGTTAGAAACAAAAGCGTCTTATGCATTATCCACACCAGCGATTACGTCGAGTCTGCATTATTTAAAACGAAGAAAAACGTTCCATGGTTCCCTTGAGCGTACTTTCCCCGTCGCGCCGGAGAGAAGCCCGACTACCTGGTGCACGGCCGCTGTATGAGAGCTTTCTGATTTTCCTAATTACTAAACTCACCAACTCAAGCAAGAAACATTAAAAAAAAAAAAAGAATTGCAGTTACACGCACACTTTTTTTGTTTATTTAACAGCGGGATTGGGACAATAACGGAGGAGCCCCTCTCCCTGCTACTTTCCCGCAGTGCTTGCCCGCCAAGGGAGAAGCTCCCTTGTAATTATGCAGGCACGTAGGGTTGGCAATCGGGTCAGCTAACACGAAGGAAATGACTGGACAAATGGACCGCTGTTTGTCCAGTTCTTTCCTTCGTGTCCCGTTTTTCCGTGTTCAGATGACCCGATTGCCAACAGTATGTACCAACTAAAACCAATAGCACGAAGGGTGTCCGGTTTTATTTTCCTCCCCGACTTAGGTCAGTGTTAATTTTATTGAGGGCGACAAGTGTGTAAAATCAGCGAAATATAATTACCTAATTAAGCAACGAAGTAGGAAACGGTGCAAAACTGCATAACTTAATTTGGAAAATGTTTTGATCGCTTTAGCCTTTGCACACAATCAAAGAGGCAGCATTGTGAGAACTTGTATCTTGCCTAGTACTTGCCGAGAGAGAAATAAAGGCTGAATTAACACTGGTGGAAAGCCATACTTAAAAAAAAAAAAGGAAAAGTGCAATATTTGTATCCAATTTTTTTAAAACTCGATCTTGAGTTGGCCATTTCACACCTTTTCTATTTTCATCCTTGTTTTCCTTTTAAGTACCTAATAGCCTTGGCATGTGCTGTGAAGCCTAAGCTATATGTATTTTGATTTTTTTAAACATACATCTGCTAATAAAAGAAGCTGCAGGTACTCTAACCAACTGTGCTTATATAGCCCAACGTTTTGTGGCCTGCTTGTTCACGGGCAACTTATTTGGCTGGGAGTTTGTATTTCTACCCTCCTTGTCGCTGCCATTTAAATCATTCTCCTCGTTTTGTTGCACCCTAAAGCCCGTGGATATAACTGCTTGGGATGGTACCGATCGACCTGTTCTGGTTGTTCTTTGTATGCTGAATAAGCTACAACTATAAAAAGTTGTTTTTTCAGTTCCTCTCGGACCTGGAAAAAATTACTCTTGAGTCATGGCATATTCAGCATACAAAGAACCCGAACCTTCCCAAGCAGTTAATTCACGGGCTTCTAAGTGTCACAAAAAGGAGAGATTTAAAGGCAGCGACAAGAAGAGAAAGACAAACTCCCAGCCAAATAAGTCACCCGTGAACAAGTAGGCCCCGATACGTTGGGCTATTTGAACACAGCTGGTTAGCATACCTGCAGCTTTTTATTAATACTCACCTAACCAGGCACAATTTTGCCAAAATGTTTACTTTTCAAACATACATCTGTTGAACATAACTATTGTTATTATACTGGAACATGAAAACCTTAGTCCTCCCAGTCCCATGAGACGAATAACTGAAGAATGTCGCCCTACAACATACTCACTTTGCACGGGACGTAGCAGCCACTGTGCCAATTCCATGCGCAGAACAAAAGCCACCGGGCAAAATTAGATTTTTCACAGCATATTCGTCCCATGGAGTTCAGCCTCTATGGGTCATAATGCATATGCAAGTACAAAAGTTTCCTTGTAAATAAAAATAGGCTATCCCCCTTCGACTTAAAACTGACCTCCTAAGTTCTCAGGTACACAAGGGAGTCGGAGGAGGTTCACAAAACAATACATGTAGTTTACAGGCGTGAGCCCTCACAATTTTCCAGGCCAGCGGCAGCTGCCAGACTGTCAAATTTTACTTTGGGAATAGTACATACTTTATGGCATGAAGGATTATAGATGGATGGATGGATGGGATCTTTCAAAGTAAATAATTCTCATTACCTACAAAAACAAAAATACTGTCAAAACTTCAACAGTTTATTTACACAAACACACTGCACCATTCCAACCTTCATTCAAGTGGTGACTAGCAGGCAGGACCAATGCTTTGGTTCAGAGATGACGATGAACTGGGTGACAGAAACTTTGTGCTACAAGTCACAACTGAAGCAGCTTATTCAGAGTGGTGCCCAGGACGCCAATGGTGGGGTTCAAGCTGGGCTGCAAGAGAAAAGAATTGTCACAGTACAAGCACCGTAACCATCAATTTTAGACCACGTGGAACAGACATACACCACTTCAGTGCACTAAGGAGTGTGTTACTACTTTTAAAAACAATAACTCTTGGATAACGATCCCCTAAACAAAGCGAATCGACAGCAAGGAGCTTTACAAGTTAGTTTGAACATTCAACAAGTAATCAAAATTGTTGAGAGTAAAAACATATTCGAATATAGGTCATCCCTAATTTTGAAGTGGAAGGAAAGGAAATTCTTACAAATATTTAACCCGTCGCATCATTTGTAACCCAGGTTTAAACGCATGTGTTGATCATGCTGGCAACGTCATCTTATGAACATTAAAGGGGCACTGACACCCCAAAGGTCGTATTTATTTTTATTGTCTAAAACGATGCAAGTTGCAGTCATAGACACGCAAAAAAAACCGCATCGCGAAAAAAAAATTTTCCGCGCGCGCGCGCCTTTTTATTTTTGGCGTTTGATTTTCCCGCCTCTCGCCTCCTCGCTTCTTTTGATCGGTGACGTCAAAAATCAGGAAATTTAGAAGGTTTGTAGGCGACATCTCTATAACATTTAATTACGGCAATCCTAAAACATGTTTTTTAACGCAATTGCGAACGCACTACGGCCCTTCTTTTTGAAATACCAAAAATTGGGAGTTCGTTGTGGTGCTGTCTCCTGGATTTGTATCCTCCAACGGAAAACAGGCGACACCGCTCAAAACCGGTTCGCCGCAACGCCGCCGCTCACTCCTTTCCTCCTCGCTTTGGGTTGCCATGGCAACAGCAGGGGGTGGTGAAAGAAAGTCGACTCTCAGGTCTCTGCATTTTTTGACGTCAAGGCAACGGCGCCGATCGCGCGGGAACTTCGAATGCGGCATTTGGAAATTGTTTCTTCACTTCACAAATACTGAATTCCCAAATTTCAAATTTTGAGGGTAATGTCCCGGCATCGTTTTCAATCGTTTCGGATAATAAAAAAAAATATGATTTTGATGTGTCAGTGCCCCTTTAAGAATAGCAACTGCATGCTTTCGTACCGAGCGAAAGCATTAAGTATTGATTAGTTCACATAAAAATAGTGCTCAAAGCATTTTTGATCATAATCACAAACCACTGTTGTAGATTTTTTTGTATTAGAAATGTCACTGAAAACCTGCTCATTTTTGTTATAAATATTCACTCTACTATAAAAAGGTAAACTGGCACTGCAATTGACCCTTTAGCAGTGGTATGCCAGAGTAGTTTATAACATTACTGGTCAGAAAACTGTGCTTTTCACTAATACATTTTGCTTCACATATATTATCTTGCAGATATTAGACACAAAGGCGCACAAGCTGAAGTTGACACAAAAATAACATAAAACTACCTCATGTAAAAAAACAAAAACAACATGGATTATTGACGTTTTTCACGATTGCAGCCAGTGCATTGATAGTAGGGGACAGATAGATGTATTTTTGGATTTCGCCAAGCATTTGATTGATTGTCCCGTCATCTAGCCGTTATGTAAAATTGCAGGTATCATTAAAGGGGCCCTGCAATCATATTTCAGCATCTACCTTTTTTGCGGTTTCCACATCTCTTGGTGTTCGGGCAAGCCAGCGGGCACGGAGAGAATAACTAAATATCAATGCGTCATATTTTAACCGGACGACGTGGACACCTTCTCTACCCACAAAGGCGACCCGTGGTGCTGAAAGTGTTGTGTTTGGTCCTGGCCTTAATACTGGTCAGAGCCGCTAAAAGCTACTTTTTAAAAGCGCAAGCTCATAGTGTTGGCAGCCACTCTTAATTAAGTCACAAGAGCTTGTGCCGCCGAGATGTGCTTCAGAGCAAAGAGCTCGTACTTGTAGCCTTTCCTGCGGTACATCATAAGGTGAAACAGAGTATTCGCGACTCCAGCAAAACGGACGCCACCAAGCGGGAAAACCGGGAACCAGCCGGTCCAGGTCGCTCCGCGCCCCTCCGCGTCTCTTGTGCCTTTCGCGGGCACGTGTTGTCGGCGCGATGGCGAAAAGTGTAATTTTACAAAGGTCCGAAAATGTCTTAAGTTTGCCTGAGTGTTCATTAGTGTGGTGAAGCCTCAGTAGATTGTTTCCTTCCATCACGTGTTTGAAAGCCCGTTTACTCCGCAACACACGGTCGCGTGCTTTGGGAAGGTTCGATAGCTGCTTTTCTTCAGTTTGGTTGTGTTCGATTAGCTTCAAGTTTGAGCCACCCACGCCGGTCGGTGCGTTGGCTATTCATCTTGGCTGCTTTCCGTCGAAAATGCCTCTGGACCACTCTGAAAGAGTTGGGCTGATTTCGCAATTACTTGATTCAGAAAAACTTGCTCGCTGCAAATGAAGAATGACGGAAATTTTCTGTTTTCAAAAGGTGGGGTACGCGTCTCGCAACGTTAGAAGCTGTTACGGCATTTTGATCTATCGCGCCTCCAATATTTATATTATACCTCCGTCGAAGTCAGCAGCAATATATGTCTACATTGCTCAGGTTGACCGGCCACAAAAAATACTTACTTTCTCCGTTCAGGATGCAAAGCAAAGTTCAATGCGGAGAGGTTCTGCGTGAACTCCAGTGAAGATTCTCTTCAGTTTGTCTCCGTGCTGCTGGTTAGAACTATTTGGCTAAGTTTAAGTAGTATCTCTCTGTCTGTCAAATATACTTTTATTCAGCAGTTCACCTAATAGCTAGTCAACTAAGCTCATATTTCAACCCGAAGAATATACTAATACCGCTTTAGTGGGACCCCCATAGTACGTAATATAATACATACCCGCTCGTCAAAATGATTCCTCGATTACTACTAAAACCTGAATTGAAATACGAGTATCAGCTATTTAGTGGGGTGCCGGAAGGTTAACATGATCCTTGGCTCAAAAAGCGCTGCTTAATTGTCGTAATTTTCCTGCAGCCTGTGCTGTTGACCGAGGAGACGACTGGAGCTGTTTCTTAAACGCGGATGCGCACAAAAGCTCGATTTCGCGGACAGATTAGTCGGATGGTCGAGGCATGTGAGTTGGCTGAAAATTACTGTCGGCGGAAAAATTCTGCGGTCATTGCCGCTTTTCTTAGATGATCAAAACTGATTAGTATATTACCGACTCTCCAGAGCCCATATGGTTTCGGTTTTGAAGGAAATCTCCGAAACGACAGTTTGACATGAAAAGAACAAAAAACACCGGGAAAACCAAACTATGCTCTGCGAGTTTATGTGCACCGGCTACACTTCACCGTCTCAGTTCAAATAGCTATAAAATTGGGCATTAAACAAAAAGAAATCTGTTAAATTGAACGCGCCACCTGTTCAGGAGGCCCGGCCGAGCCGACGCGACCTGGACTCAGCCGCCATGTTTGTTCGGTGGTGGCGCCCCCTATAGGTCGCTGGAGTCGCGAATAGCGGTGAGCGTAGAAAGGTCTCGAATGTACCCGGCGCCGTTGCGGTCAAGGATCCGACCGGTTCCGAAGGCCTTCGGAGCTGGTTTGGAAGTATGGCAGCGTGAAGTGGCTGCTCTACTGAACTGATCTTTATCCCGTGTTTGCTGTCGTTCGTGGCCAATGAAGTGTCATACCAAATTAGTGTTTAATCTCGCAGCAAATGCAATGCGAGCAGCCCTGGCTGCCCGCTTCATATAGCCTATCCAGAACATGCTTTAGTGGTGTCCTCTCGAGCCGTTGACGCGGAGTGCAGCAGCGGTGAGCGCTCGCTGAGCTCGCTACCCCTCCTCTAGTTCACGGCCACTCAAGCGACGAAAGACGTCATAAAGGAGGTGTTTTTTTGCTTGTTTTTGTAATTTGAATTTGCCTATAACTTTTAGAATAAAGCGAGATTCAAATAAAAGAAAAGTTTCATTAAGTTACTACGTTCAGTGCACTCAGGTTCGGTGCGAATTTAAAACTTTCAGCCTTTCCACTCTGATGAAGAAGGAAAGTCAGCGGCCGCCCATTACAAAATGCTGTATGAGGGGGAGGGGAGACCCCAGCAAAATGGAAGATTTCGGGGAGGGGGGAACCCAAGCCCCATGGGCCCCCTTCCCACTGGCTACGTGCCTGGTGTATCACTACTGGGTGGTGCACGTTACCCCAAGCTAGCGGTTGTACTGCACTCGCTAAATTGCTCATCTACAGCTGGGAGACTCGTCGCCCTTTGAGGCATACCAAGCTCTAGGCTGTATAAACATACACACAACCGAATTTCGGATCTTGGTGATGCAAGTCCGTTCCCGGCTGAGCTGAGCCCTCCTCATTCAACGCTTCTTGTTATTGCTGTCGTTTCTTCCTACTCAAGGCTATGGTTAGGGTTCCGCATTTTCTGTGTTTTTTTCTTCTCGAAATCGAGGGTACTTTATTTCGGGGTTTAATGTTTTCCTGCAGATTCCGTGGTTTTTGTTTAAATTGGTTATGACTACACCAATTCACACAAAAAACAGTGAATCTGTAAAAGAAATGGACCCCCCCCCCCCCCCCAAAAAAAAAAAAAATTCCCCCAATTTCTAGAAAAAACAACAACAACAACAACAACAACAACACCGAAAACGCAGAACCCTAGTTATGAAGTATCATTTCACATGCACGGAAATTCAGCAAAGCGATTATTATTAAGTCGGATGCTTCCATAATCTTACTGTTGTGGTTTGTATACGACAGCTGGTCCCATATATTTTTGGTATCTCACACAAACCATAGGTTTCATAAAACATTGAATGTTGATTGGAGCTGTGGTTTGATTAAAAATTAATCCTACTGATCGCTACCGTTTAATACACAAATCAATTGATAAATTTGTTAGTCCATTTTTCACCGGTCATTATGCATGAAAGACAATAAAACTACACCTTGTTTAGTATTTTTAGTATGTCAGAAATGGCATATTGCATTCCCATTTTAAACTTCACGTTGTGACGCCTACAGAAATATAAACACGGGAAGCCTTTTAATGTGCAGTAATTTTTAAGTTATTATTTAAACAGTATAA